ATATCAATACAATTACTAGATCTGCACATCATGATATTACATTTTAATAATTCTGTTAAATTTGCGTACAAACTTTTCTGAGAATGTCAGTTTCAAACATTATGTTTTTCAAATCTCTAATGAAATTAATTTGACAATCAGAGTAAACAGAAAACTCAAGAATACTGTGGAGTAAATAATAATAATAATAATAATAATAATGATGATGATGATGTCATGATGCTCATGTATTTCTTATGAGAAAAACTTACATTGGGAAATATGAGCAGTTAAAATTTTCTTTTGTGGTGGAAAAAAATATTCCAAAATGTTTGCCACAAAATGTGATAGAATTTCTATCAGCAGTTTCTTCATAAGTTATCTCAGAAAGTTTAGCTTTGTGTCTTTGAGACCACACATTTAAGCAATATCATTTAAAAGCAGATACGTGTGCTTTTAAATAATAGTTTAAGGACTTTTTAACATCTGAACATAATATCCTAAGCCTTCTGAAGTTCCAGAACAATTGTCTCAAATTTGTTTAGGACTAGCAACTCTCATCAGCCAATAGACACATCTGGAGAGCACCGGTTTAGGAAATACACTCTGGAAAAATTATTCTAAGAAATTTAAAGTTGTCTGAATCAGCAATTATTGTCAATTATACAAGCTGAGCCAACATTAAGGAACAAACAGCTTCTGGAATTGAAGTAAGCACCCTCTATATCAGAGTTTTCTGACAGAGCTTCTAGAGTTTCATTATTATATTATCTGAGCATATTTTTGTAAGTCATCCAAAGCCAGTAGGATTTATCGTAAGCAAAAGGAAACTTTCACAACATTTTGTTCAGTGATCAGCAGAGGAGCTGACACTTGAACTGTCATTTTGCATCTGACAGGAACTGAAACTGAATGAGTTTATAAAAGATACCAAAAGCAGACAGTTTGAAACAATTACCCTGTTAACTCATAAACATTTGGAAATTTTCTAGCAATCTATCGCTCTTTTATTCACAAACAGCCAATCTGTTCTCTCTCTCTCTCTCTCTCTCTCTCTCTTTCCTTATTTAGACTGGTCCATAATAGCAGAGCTTTTGGGGATTTGCAGACTATGCTATATCATTTGCTGCCATTTTTTTTCACTCTGTCATTGCCTCCTCATAATTATAGTTCCCTCAACAGTATCTTTGGATGCTTTAAAGCATTGCCAGCTGGATTTGCACTTATACAAAGTTGTGAAAGGAACACAGGATGTTCCAATCTATTGAGTCATACCGTCAGTCTGCCTAGCTTAGTATTGTCAGTACTGACAAACAGTAGCTTTCCCCCACTCAGGCAGGAAACATTTCTAGACTAACCAGAAGATGTTAAAGATTAAACTTGGGACCTTTGACATACAAAGCATGAACTACCACTGAGATACAATCTCTTTTCTGTGTAGAACTTGTATTGTCACAATTTGTGAACAATGAAATTTCTTTTGGGAAAGAATACTGATCTTCTATCAAATGTCACAAAATTCTCAACTCTTTGCAATTTAAGTGAGAACTGCTTGTAATTCTAAAGTTTAGCCATCTCTGTTAATTAATGAACGGGATACTTGAACAAGGTTTAACTGAAAGTATCCAGGTATCAAGAACCCAGGGACTCTGCTTTTTAACCATAAACTTTCCAACAGAATCACACAGTATGTTGAGAAACAATTGTGGGAAAGCTTACTCGTATTATAATCTTTCTTTGTAATTTTCCATGTTGGGATACATACAGAAAACTGATTTTGAATTAATCATGTAATATTCATAAACTTACATACACTTTACATATAGTCTAATATAAAAAGACTATTTAAATATTCTACTATAATTAAACATTGTCAGTGATCAATCATTTATTAATCTTTTTTGAAAATTAAACCATGCAAAACTGCAATAGACCTTTTTTATTTACAACACCTGTTATTTCTGATCATTAGCCATGCTGGATAGAGCTGGTTAGAGTTACAATCCAAACTGCCTGGTGAGCATTATGCTACCTCCCGCAAGCTATTTAGATCAGGGTGACCAATTATTTCATTATTCTTTCTGTTTGGCCTTCTAAATAAAGCTTTAAAAATATTGTGCATCTAAAATAAGAACACAAACTATTGTAGCAGTCTTCATAGTCAAGCAATATTAAAGTTCATAAAAATACTCTAATGTAGTTTTAAAATATACTTCTGAAGACCACAACTTCACTAGTTAAAGGGTTATATTTGTAATTCTATTTATTTTGAAATTTTCTCTATGTGTATGAAATGAAGTTCAGAATATCTAGTAATAACTTTCAGCACAAAACATTACATAACCTTATGTTACACAAAATAGAAGTAACTTATGGCAGAAATAATTTTAATGTATGACATAACAAAGGCTATAATTTTACTTGTTTTAAAGAGACATCATTACAATTTACAGAGCTTAAGAATCATCCTAATTATAATATCATCCTACAGTATATCCACGAAGCATATAAAAGCAAATTACATTATATTGCTTCTTAACATGGCCTCATCTAACTGACCTTGACTTATTTTTCGAAGCTAAGCAGGGTCAATTGGGTTTAGTACCTGGAAAGGGGGATATGAAAGGAGCCTCCCCAAAGATTGCATTACTTTTGGTAGTCAGGGGTCTCCTGGGCAACGGTGTTGTCACCGGCTAATCCTTTCAATTGAGAAGCACCCTTCAGTTAGCTTTGGAGGTGCTTCTGACATGAATACAGATAGTACATGGAAAGTGGGACTGCTTAAAAATTCTAAGACAGCTGGCTAGGCTGAAAGGTCAATGGCAAATCACTTCCTTAGCCCTGCCAAGGAAACTTCCTGGATGTGGTTTCAACTGCATTTTTTCAAGAACTTGACTCAAGGACATCTTTATCTTCTATCTTCGTACATGTTCCAACTCATTTGTCATTCCATTTCTAGGCTGTTTTATTTTTCGTAAGAAGGACAGTAGAGCTAGTCCTCAACTTAGAAGTATTTTTTGGCCACCATTCAAAGTTACAATGGCACTGAAAAATTGACATCACCACTTTTTACACTTACAACCGTTGCAGCATCCCCACGGTCACGTGAACAAAACTCAGACAATTTGCAACTGGCTCATATTTATGGCGGCTGCAGTGTCCCAGGGTTATGTTGTCACCTTTGGCGACCTTCTAACAAGCAGAGTCAATGGGGAAGCCAGGTTCACTTAACAACCAAGTCACTTAATAACTGCAGTCATTCACTTAACAACTGTGGCAAGAAAATTTGGAAAAAGTGGCAAAACTCACTTAACTGTCTTGTTTGGCAATCAACGTTTTGGGTTCAATTGTGGTCGTAAGTCAAGGACTATCTATGCCACAATAAATTGAAACTAGACTTTGGGGAATATATATTTTTGCTTAACAGTCACCAGTGTCTCTGATAATACACATCGCTTTACAGATTATGAATATGGAAAAAAAGTATTTTGATCTATTCAGCAATTTTCTTTAAGAACCATTTCACATGGTTTTTATCTGACATGGTATAATTTTAGCTATATCAACTTCCATTGATAATGTTGACTTGTTGCAAATTACCGGCATACACATATATGCCATATATAAGCTCTATATGGTGGTGACCTTTGAGAGCTGAATGCAACGAAATTTCATTTTAATGTATGCCGATTAGTGTACATTCAGAGTGACAATAAAGTTATTGTTCTGTTCTGTTCTGTTCTGTTCTATATAGCTCTCTGTACACATTTCAGAAGGTTTTCTTTTCCTAATCACCTAGGTCAGAAACAGATTGCAGCCTTGAAGGAAGCATATAAAGATTGGAAATGTCTTAGGACAAAGTCCTATTATAGAGAAGACATTTGCAGCTGAGATCTTCTTATAAACAATTCTTGACATGAGCATTATGACAGACATTCCAAAATTTCAGTGGGCAGTTTAGAATAAGTTGGATTATATCCACTTCTTTATTTTTAATTGCTACGATTCAGATTCGTGTAAGTAGCTCTAGTCTGTATTGAAATCAGTGTCTCATCAGCTTCAGTGGAATTTAACACAGTAATCCAATAGTCTGGATTGGACTCTTAGAAAATCAGATCAGTCAGTTAACTCTGCAAGATGACAAAATCAACCCACCTCACTATCTCTAATCTCTGCCAACAGAAACAACTAAACCATTAAAATATATAACAGTGCTAGAAGAATGTGTCTAAATTTCCTTTGATAGTTTATTATGGTATCTACTAGAATTTCACTAAATCAAGCTGTGAAAAAAATGAATGTAACCCTGATATTTATTTCATTTTATTGTAGGGTTCCCAAGAACCTTGAACTGAAAAAATAGAAACAAACCACATCCAGCATCTCTTGCTGATTTAAATTGCCAAGTTCACCCACATATGAAAAAAAACTGTCTGACTAGAGTTACATTGCATGACCACTATGTTTTTCCAAATAACCTCTGTTGGAGTCCAAAGAGTCACCACTTACTGTTGCTCATGATTTCCCAGGCTTTTCTGACCAAATCCAAAATACAAAGCTTAAAAGCTTTAACTGACAAAGTTTGAGAAGCTCCTTGATGAAACTGCATTATTCCAGTTTTTCAATAGCAGGCATATTGAATTTAACAAGATCAATATAAAGTTTATGAATTATATATTTTACATACGTATAATATATTTTACATACAAAGTCATCTAGCATATGATATTTGAAAAACAGATTTACCACGTAATATTCTGGAAATATATATAAAACTTTGTATCCTTTATCATGCTTCATGCCTAGCATTGAGTGAAAACTAACTGAAATATTTAATAATACTTCTCCAGTTGGATATTAATCTGACTTTCCTCATCAGAAGGATTTCAATAAAAGCAGCTGTTGATACACAACTGTAATAAACCTTAAGAGTGCAAGGCTTTGATTTGCATATCTCAAATCCTTACATCTGATGCAAAAAAGCAATAGAAGATTATAGTTCAGTGCAACAAAATCCTTACCTGTGAAAGCATTTGTAGCCTGAAAACCAGCTTCCTGCATACTGCTCTCCCACTAAAGCTTGTGACTCCAATCTTAACCTTTCCTTTCCAGAGGCAGTTTATGCAGTAGTAGGGATCAAGTTACTTCCATCTTCACTTCTGAGTGTCCATTTTTTCATCCCAATCCAGCATTTAACATCCCTTAGTTCCAACTTGTTCTCAGGTCCTTTAAGACCTAGGGAAAATGGGATGTGTCTCAAATTCAGATGGCCAGTTCAGGTGAAGTGCCTCAACCGTCCTGACAAAGAATTATAGCCATTGTATTTGTGAAGAAGATAGCAGCCATTCCATGCATAAAAAGAAGTTCGACATTTAGTCTAAGTCTCTGCTTGGAAAACATCATAGGGTTCTGTCGCTTGTTTCTGTGCTCATTTTGCTTAGAGTCAGCCAGAGGTATTCTTCACTCCTTTTCTGTGATCACTTTGAGCTTCACCGTTCGCTTGTGCAGGCTACGAAATTGAAAAGAAAGATGTTTTAAGATGATTTATGGTAAGAACTACAACATTCAAGGAATAAAAGCACTTGCATGCACATACAAGCACACACACAAAGCCCTATTTAGTAGGAACTGATTATACACATTAAAGGGGATTTGTTAGAATTTTGAGATCTAAGTATGATTGCATATGCCTTTGAAATGCAAAGACAGTCTTGAATGATGTCAATAATGCATTTTAGAACATGATATGATTTACATTTCAAAAGCTGCATTTAGTAAAATGGGGCAGCTGCACAATAACAAAATTGCAGTTAATAGGAAAAAGTAAAAAAATCAAGACCCTCAGTTCTAAGATGTAATTATCATTTTATCAGATCTTATTCTTACTTTATGAAAGCATTATAAAACAGGAAGTTGGATATGACATTGTGCTTTCAACATTTATCTTTTGAGATAAAACCTCAGAATATGCACATATAACATAGCTAAGAATTCAAATATTTTCCTAAAAAATCAATTCAAAGCCAACTATTAAAAACAATATTAGTAAAGATATGAATATTTTTTTTCCAATCAATTTTTTTAAGAACCCAACAGAACGGATAGCATCATCATCATCATCATCTTGTGCTATAATAATATTTACTATTTTATAGTACATCTCAGCTTAAACTGCAATGTACTCTATATGGGCTGTCCTTCAAGAACACTCAAAAGCTTCAACTGCTCCAGAATTTAATGGCATGGACAATGATGGGCATATCTTGGTAGTCCTATAGGACACCTTTGCAAGGCATTGTGCCTGTTCATTGGAGGGACACTTTATCTTCCAGTGTTGGAAGTTTTCAAGAAGAGACTGGGCAGCCATTTGTCTGAAATGGTATAGGGTTTCTTGCCTGAGCAGGGGGTTGGACTAGATGACCTCCAAGGTCCCTTCCAACTTTACTATTATTATTATTATTATTATTATTATTATTATTATTATTATTATTATTATTATCCAATCTCTTCTTAAAAACCTCCAGTATTGGAGCATTAATAACTTCTGGAGGCATTCCACTGATTAATCATTCTAAGTGTCAGGAAATTTCTCCTTAGTTCTAGGCTGGTTGTCTTCTTGATTAATTTCTATCCATTGCTTCTTCTCCTGCCCTCAGGTGCTTTGGAGAATAACCTCTTCTTTGTAATAGCCCCTTAGTACTGAGAGGTAGTCCAGACAGGTTGCAGGTCCAGGTGAACTAATTATACTTTATTATAAGATTATATTAACAGAATAAATGTGAAAGTACATTTCTCCCCCATCGCCTTTACAGCCCAAGAAACCAGGAAGGATTCCTTCTGAGACGTTTGCCACACTCACATTCCTTCTGAGGGCTAAGCTGCCTCTTGACTGTTCCCCTTGTCTCCCAAGTTCATTACCATATACCAGTGTTTCCCAAACTTGACCATTTTAAGGCATGTGGACTTCAACTCCCAGAATTCCACAGCCAGCATTGCTGGCTGTGGAATTCTGGGAGTTGAAGTCCTCATGCCTTAAAATGGTCAAGTTTGGGAAACACTGCCATACACCATTGCAGCCCAATTGGTTCAATCCAAGAAAGATGCCACTCTTTCATATATCGTCACCTATCGGAACCCCAAAAGCATGTCTTCTCTGTAACAGCCCTGTCATATGGAATGAGATTTCCCCAAAATATATACCACTTTCACCTTTCTGACATTTCAGAAAACCTTAAAAGACCTGACTGTTCTTAAGCTATGGATTGCGGTAGCTGGGGTCCTTGCTAGGTTGTGCATGGGTGCGGTTAACCAGTTACGCTATTGATTTTTGTTGTACCGGTATATTCTTTTACTCTTTCATAGTTATTATTTCCTGGTTTTTTGTTGTTGGTTTTATTGTGCACTACCCAAACTCGGTTGGAGTCAGGCTATGCCTAAATTAAACAAGTTAAATATTATTTTTTTAAATTATATAATGTTATAACTAGGTTACTAATATCCAATAACAATAAACAAGCAATATATGTGGTGAATCGTTTGGTCAAACCTGTCTGGATTCAACACAGAAAGCAAGAGCAATGGGCAAGAGCAAAATAAAGGAAAAATGAAATAAAGTGGCCAGGCATCACAATTGCAACGAAACAGAAGTAGCTGTAATCATGTCTGTCTAGAGAAAAGATCCACTGTGCACACTTTGTACATTCCAAAACATAAGGATTTGCATAGCTCTATTTCATATGACCGGTAAAACAGTGGTGGTTATCTAAGTTTCCCCAAACTTCTGCACTGGTGGTATCTAAGGTCTAACATTCTCAGAATTCCTAACCTGGCTTGAGAAGATCAATTTTTTGGACAGCTCTGAATATTTTGATGTTTTTCTGGACAATCTACACAGTAAATATAAGCGTACGTTCCATGTGACATGCAATTTTTCTCCTGAGCTACTATTTTTATTGTAAGTATATCACATTTCCTCAGCACTTATAAACATAATGGCTTGAATGTGAGAAAATAAAAGTCTTCCTCTCAACAGTAAATTCACTTGCTATTATAACTGCTGTGCAAAGTGTATTGATTTGCAGATGTACTGCCAAGATGCTTTAGAACATTTTAGGAATCAAAGCTTGGAAGCAGTCTTTGGTTTTATAAACACTGACCAAGATATAAGTAATCCTCAGCCAACAACACCCAGGAATGCCTTTTATTTAAAAAAAAAACTGACAGAGTCAAAAGAACCTCTAGACTGAAACAGTGTCACTATCAAAAACAACAAACACTGCCCATATTCAAGAATGCTGATATGCCACTATGTGATCCAACCTAGCAAAAATTGCTGATTGTTGAAAGAGAAAGATTCTGCCTCTTCTCTTCTAACCATCTTTAGCCTGAAACCAAGTGTAAACAAGTAATTTTCCTCCAGCCTTTTCTTCAGATTCTGACTTCAGTCAGAATCTTAACTTGAAAGTGTTGAGAGAAAAGTAAAGTACAAAATTTTGTTTCCTGCTGGAGAAATTGAACTTTATACAGTATGAGGTTCTGTAACATTTTAATAGCAGGTAAAACAATATTTTAATCCCCAGGGGCTCAACTATAATGAATTTGCTAAATTCAGAACACAGAAAAATGCAAAGCAGATCCTCATTCCAGGCTGAGGCAGGAAGAAGACACAGACAGACAGACAGACAGAAAAAGATTAAAGGCCCTTGATATTTAAAACATTTATTGATGATAAACTGTCAGAGAAATCCCAAACACACAATTACACTAATTTCTGTCGCTACCAGCCCACATGTAAAGATTCAGTAAAACTACTGTTTTATTATATGAGGGTTGGAGAAGGATGGCTGTATCATTTGAACACAATTGGGAAGGCTGTTTGTCTGAAAACAAAATAGCATTCAAACCTTGAAACCAGGGGCTAGAGAAGCCTTAGGGGTGTGTGTGTGTGTGTGTGTGTGTGTGTGTGGTGTAAGAGAGAGAGAGAGAGAGAAAGCATATGCGTAGACCAGGGCTTTTCAACTTTTTCACAGATTGTATCACTTTTAGGACATTACAATATTCGAGTACCACCAGTGCTTAGCAAGGTGTCAAAAACTTGATGACTAAATAAAGGGGGATTTTGGGTTTCACTGATTAGATTCATTTGTTGTTATAGAAATGGCTAGTTTATAATATTATGAAAAAGTAAAAAGTTGAGGTTCAATGTTAATGCTTCCTTCTATTGCAATAGAGGAAGTCTGTTCTTTTTCCCTTCTCCCCCTCACTTTTCCCCCCTTTTCCTCCCCACTGTGTCCTACTATTTGCTTTTGCATTTTTGTATTTTATTCTATAATCTAATAAAATATTACAAACTGTAGAAAAAAAGGAGAAAAGTACCAGTTTTAGTTTCTTTGGTGGCTGTTCCTTTGCTGAATCACTTTCCCTTTGCACTGACAAATGTATGATGAATTTATCCACGTTTATTAATATGCACCACTACCAGCTAGCTCAGGGGTCTTCAAACTTGGCAATTTTAAGACTTGTGGACTTAAACGCCCAAAATTCCTCAGTCATCATGGCTGGTTGAGGAATTCTGGGAGTTGAAATCCACAGCTTTAAAGTTTGTAAACCCCTGAGCTAGCTGGTCAGCCTTTCTTCCTTTCTCCCTTCTGAGTTCTTTCCACAGTGTAGTAAGAATGCACCTCCCCCCAATCCCTTCCCTGTACCCTTAAAGACACAGGAATCAAGTGCAAAGCAAGAAAGGCTCACAAAATAAAGAAACATATAAACTCCTGGTTTTTTTTTCCTTTAAGATGCCTCAGGCGTGTCACGTGTCACAATGTTGCAACTCGAACTAAAATGCAATTGCGAAAAGCTTTAACTTTAAATTAAGCCTGTTTACCTTCAAAGAAAACTTTCTAAAAGCCATAGACAGACTCAATTAAAGGGGTCAAACTAATTACATTTGTTTAAAGGGATTAAACCTTTCCCTGTTGTCTTTTTTCCCCTTTCCTGCCCAAACCACTTCCTTTTATAACCTCTCCTCTTCCTCCCCACCTTTTTCTTAAGTTCACCTCCAGCTCTGCACTGCTTCTGGAAGCTCCAATCAGCTGGAGCCAATCAGCTGGAGCCCTGCTGGCTCCTGGGGCTTCTGCCAAGCCCAGACAGTCCTGCAGCTGCATCTCCTTCAGGCTTGGCTCGCTTGTGCTCATTCCCCTTCCCTGCTACACTCGTCTAGGACGATTGCATCCCACCTGCCACGTGGCAAAGTACCACAGGTGGTACGCGTAGACATCCTTTTTACCTATTTTAATCATAAACTTCATTTGCAACAAGTTCCAATTTCAATGTTTGATATTTCCAAGGTGGGGCAGGAAATATTCAATAGATGAATTAACTACCTAATTTGGTAAAGGTAGTTTTACTACAGAAACTGGTGATCTTTGGAATTGATATTGGTCCCACTTTTTTTTAAAAAAAAATCCTGTAGAAATCTGTCACCTTGGAAAAATGAATCAGTCAGTAATGTTC